TGGCGCTGTGGCTCAAGTGGTAGAGCACTAGCCTTGAGCTGAAGAGCTGAGGGACAGTGCCCAGGCCCAGAGTTCAGGCCCCACGACTGGATCCAAAAAAAAAAAAAAAATGGAGATTTGAAGCCAGCCTGGACAAAAAAAGTAAAAAAGTTCATGAGACTCATATCCAGTTAACCAGCAAAAGGCCAGACGTGAAGCTATGGCTCAAATGATAGATAGAGCACTAGCCTTGAGCAAAAGAGCCAGGCAAGTCTGAAATGCCCTGAATTCAAGTCCCAGCACATGCATACAAAGTTAAAACCAGTGTATCAACAGTAGCTCCTATTGCAAACGTTAGGACCTTTAGTATACCACAGAGTACTGACTTCCAGTGCCCACTTTAAACCTTAAGTGAAATCATTCTAAGCTAGGTACTGGTGGCTCACAACTGTAATCCTCAGGAGGCTGTGATCTGAGGTTTGGTTCAAAGTCTTTAAGACTCTAACCTCCAATTAACAAGCAAAAAAACAAAAACAAAAAACAAAAAAACCCACCAGAAGTAGAGTTGTAGCTCAAGTAAGAGCACAAATCTTGAGCGAAAGAGCCCAGAGAGCCAGGCGCCCGTGGCTCCACCTGTAATCCTAGCAACTCAGAAGGCTGAGATCTGAGGATTGCGATTCAAAGCCAGCCCGAGCAAGAAAAGTTCGTGAGACTCTTATCTCCAATAAACCCACTAGAAAACGGAAGTGGCGCTGTGGCTTCAGTGGTAGAGCACTCGCCTTGAGCTGAAGAGCTCAGGGACAGCACCCAGGCCCAGAGTTCAAGTCCTATGACTGACAACAAAAATAGCCCAGAGACTGTGCCCAGGTCCTGAATTCAAGCCTCCCACCCCTCCCACACACACCACACTCACATTCTGATCTGACTGGCCACAGCTAAGGACCTGCCATGGCTGCAGGCCCAGCTTCTGAGCCATCAGCATGGATGCAGGTGAACTTTGGTCTCTGAAAATACCTATCTCCCACTCGGGCAGGTGGCTCCCCATCCTTTGGGCTTTAGTGTTTACTCTCCTTCTGCCTTCCCTTCCACAGTTGCCCAGATCCCTAGATTTTGGGGTGACCCCAGGCTATCTAGAGCACACGTAATCTGGACTGCAACATATGAAGTACTTAATGTGGGGAAGAGAGAATCCAAAAACCCACATCACCTGCGGCCCACACCTGTAAGTTCTATCCACAGTTTTGTAGGCTCACCCCACCATTGCCCTCAGTCCAATTCCTAGACCATGGTGCCAAGTTCCTGAGGGAACTGAAGAGGGGCAGAGCAATGCCACCAAAGGGAGATGCCATGCAGGCCATGGGAACAGAAGTATCGCAGGGAGCTGCAGGTGGGGTGGTTGGGTCTGAGGTTTTCCTCTGCCTTGCTCACCTCCCTTTTTCTTTTTTCCTTTAGCAGCAAATTTGTTTATTCAGCAAATGTTCAAAGTCTGTGGCTCTCTGGGGCATAAAGCACTAAATGATGCATGTACTGGAGGCAAGCAATACCTTCTCTGCTTCCAAGAAACTTGTCTTTTTGCAGAACAAAAGCAAAGCCTAGACAATGTGGCCTTCTCCGGCTCTCCCTTTCACTGTGAATGGAAGGGTATTTGTCCTGTGTGGTTCTGGTGCCAACTTCTTGGATCTCTTTCCTCCTTCCTGCTCCTGTCTCCCCACCTTTCAAATACCAGGACCATTCTGGAATAAGCCCTCCCCTCCCCACCTCTCACCCCCAATGTATGGCAAGACCATGGAGCTCCACCTTCAAACACCTGGACTTTGATCTTTCACAAAGACTTGGGGTAGTATGCACTCTTTAGGAACTGGATGTGTGGTTCAATGGGTAGAGTGCCTACCTCGAAAGCTTGAGAGTTCAAACCCCAGTACTACCAAAAAAGACAGGATCGGCTGGGAAGGTGGCTCAGTGGTAGAGTGCTTGCCTTGCATGCATGAGCCCTGAGACCCATTCCTCAGCATTATATAAGCAGAAAAAAGCCGGAAGTAACACTGTGGCTCAAGTGGTAGAGAGCTAGCCTTGAGCGGAAAAGCTCAGGGACAGGGCCCAGGCCCAGAGTTCAGGCCCTACAACCAACAACAACAACAACAGTCCAAACAAAAAAAGACAGGATCTTCAGAGGACCCTGGACCACCACGAGGATGGTGAGAAAATGGAAAAGGACCAAACATGCTTCAATTCTGCCCAGAAACAAAAGACACTGCATTATGCTGGGTGCCGGTGGCTCATGCCTGTAATCCTAGCTACTCAGGAGTCTGAGATCTGAGGATCACGGTTCAAAGCCAGCCCGGGCAGGAAAGTCCATGAGATTTTTTTTTTTTGGGTCCGGTCCTGGGGCCTGAACTCTGGGCCTGGGTGCTGTCCCTGAGCTCTTCAGCTCAAGGCTAGTGCTCTACCACTTAAGCTACAGCGCCAATTCCAGCTTTTTTCTTTTTGCTTATGTGGTGCTGAGGAATCGAACCCAGGGCCTCAGGCATGCAAGGCAAGCACTCTACCACTGAGCCACCTTTCCAGCCCAGTCCATAAGACTTTTATCTCCAATAAATCACCAGAAAACTGGAAGTGGTACTGTGGCTCAAATGGTAGTGTGCTAGCCTTTTTTTTTTTTGGTGGGTCGTGGGGCTTGAACTCTGGGCCTGGGCACTTTCCCTAAGCTCTTCAGCTCAAGGCGAACGCTCTACCACTTGAGCTACAGTGCCAGTTCCGGTTTTCTAGTGATTTATTGGAGATCAGAGTCTCACGGACTTTTCTGCCCAGGCTGACTTTGAAATGTAATTCTCAGATAGCCTCCGGAGTAGCTAGGATTACAGGCATGAGCCAGTGGCACCAGGCAGGGTGCTAGCCTTGAGCTGAAGAGCTGAGGGACAGTGCCCAGGCCCAGAGTTCAAGCCCCATGACCGACAAAAAAAACAAAAACAAGACACAAGCCAGGCACCCGTAATCCTAGCTACTCTAAAGGCTGAGGATGGTGGTTTGAAGCCAGGCAAGGCAGGAAAGTCCCTGAGACTCATAACCACCAGAAAACCGGAAGTGGCTAAGTGTCTCAAAGGTAGAGTGAAAAAGCTCAGGGACAGTGCTTAGGCCCTAAGTTCAAGCCTCACTACCAAGGGGAAATAAAAGACACAGAGAAGAAGCAAATTCAAGAACTGCTTATGGTTTATTGGTGATCAAGCTCAGGGAAACAAGGATACAGTGAAATTGGGAGAGATGTGGGAAATGAGCCAACTGAACCCAATTCAGCTCACACAGAGAGGGACACGACTCCCTTCTATGACTACCAACCTTGGGTTTCTCCTTGCTGAGCTCTGATTCCACACTTTAAGGATCAGAAGAGCCAGAAGGACGAAGAACTTTGGGAGGGAATTGATTATTGACACCTGACTTCAGAGGACTAGTCCCCCAGCCGGTACCTGGGTATCTACCATTAGTCCCCCAGCTTCCCCCTGGGTACCGGTTAATACTCCCCCAGCTTCCCCCCGGGTACCGGTTAATACTCCCCCAGCTTCCTCCTGGGTACCGGTTAATACTCCCCCAACTTCCCCCCGGGTACCGATTAATACTCCCCCAGCTTCCTCCTGGGTACCGGTTAATACTCCCCCAGCTTCCTCCTGGGTACCGATTAATACTCCCCCAGCTAGTACCTGGGAAGGGATTATTAATACCCCAGGCTCCCGAAGGGTAAGGCATAGGCCTTGTTACCCATCCAGTCCCAGGACGACCTCCTCCCCAGGACACACTGGGATTCAGGGCCCCCAGGGGGAAACCAGGCCTGTGGGTGAGGGACCAGGGTGGGCGCTGGGCTCCCAGCACATTGGGATGGGGCAGCCGCCGAGGCTGTGGGTCCTGGCGGTGCGAAGCCTCTGGTGATGGCTGTTCTGGCAATGCAGAGGATGCTTCAGGTAAAGGACCACTAGCCAGAGGGACAGCATTCCCACTGGAAAAGTAAGACAGGCCTTCAGGCATCGCTGGCCCCAGGTAATTCTCAGCTTCAGCAGCCATCATTTGCCAAGGATACTCAGAGGCCCAGTAGTCCACAGCAGGCATCCCCCAAGATGGAGGCCACCTCTCCACCTCAGAACTTTCTGCAGGTTGAGGACCATCTGGTGGAAGGACATCGGGCTTCAGAGGAGCCTCCACCAAATCATCAGACCCAGGGTCTGTCTTGGGCTGAGGCTGTCCAGAGTTGGTGAAGAAAGGGTGTCCCAGAAGAGGCAAGTCGGTCTCCAAGGCTGGGGAAGCTTTCTCCTCCTTTGAACTGATGCTCCGGGCAAAGAAACCTGAGAGAAAGAGAAAAGAACGCCACTGGTGGGTGCAGAAGCACCATCTCCTCCCTTCCTGGATCTTTCCACAATGCCCCTTTTTTTTTCTGCCAGTTCTGGGATTTGAATTCAGGTCCTGGGCACTGTCCCTGAGTTTCTTTTTGCTCAAGGCTAGCACTCTACGACTTGAGCCACAGGTGCCATTTGTGGCTTTTTCTGTTTATGAGGAATCGAACCCAGGGCTTTGTGCATGCTAGGCAAGCACTCTACCACTAAGCCACATTTCCAGCCCCAGTTGTCTTGGGGACTCAAATTATACCCTGGCTCCATGAATGTATACCACCACCACCACCACCACCCGGCCACTTTCCCCTTTCACTTAATTCTAGTTCCCAGAGAGCCCTGATGCCCTCCTGCCCCTGAGCCAAGGATAGCCCCATACCTGGGAGATGCAGACAGACCAGGAGCAGGCCCAGAAGAGCCTCACTCCTTACCACCCAGCCCTGCATCCTGCTCAGCTCCAGGATCTCCCTCTGCCCCAAGACAGCTGCTTTATCCAGTGAGTGGGGTGGGGGACAGCAGAAACTGGTGGGGCCAGTGGTTGTGGTGACAATAGATCTCCACGGTCCACCCTCATTCTTGGTTGGGTCTGTGGCAACAGGTGTCACTTGAATGTCTCAGAGGAAGATGGGCGGTTCCTTGTCTGGCTCCCTTCATGACCAGACGGCTTGGTCCACTGCTCACCATTGGTTGCCAGCCCTGCTCTTCCCTGGTCCTTATACCCAGCAAGCCCACATCCTTGGGCTATCGGTGTCTTCACCTGGTTCTTCAGTTCTCTCTTTGGGATCCACATTATTCCCTCAACATCCTTCCTTAGGCATCTCCATATTTCCTTCATCTATACCCCAATCTGCAGGAGGTTTTGTGGTGCAAAAGTGGCCCTGTCTGTTCCTACATGAAATCCTGTGTCATAGACCTGGTTCTCATCTCTCATCTTTATGAGATGATGCTGTATTAATGTGTGTGTGTGTGTACTAATACTGGATACTGGGGCTTGAACTCAGAGCCTAAGCACTGTCCCTGAGCTTTTTCACTCAAGACTAGTACTCTACCACTTGAGCCATAACTTCTGGCTGTGTGTGTGTGTGTGTGTGTGTGTGTGTGTGTGTGTGTGGTTAATTGGAGAGAAGAGTCTCATAGACTTTCTCCCTAAACTTGATTAAAAACTGCCATCCTCAGATCTCAGCCTTCTAAGTAGCTAAGATTTTAGGTATGAGCCACCTGCACACAGCTTTGAATTAATTTCTCATTGGTGCTATAGAAAGTTCCACAAACTTACTTGTTCAAAATAGGATTTTATTATGTTACAATTTGGGGGATCAAAGCCCCAAAACAAGTCTTTCTAGGTTAAAATCAAGGTATCGTGGAGGTTCTAGGGGTGACGTGACTTCCTGGCATTTTCCAGCCTCTCGGAGCCTCCTGTGGTCCTCAGCTCAAAGCCCAAAGTAGTAGCTTCTTCCCACAGTGTATCATCTGGCTTCCACTTCCGCTTCCCAGGTCCACATTTTAACACACTGTGATTATTATTCTGGATACACCCAGATAATCCAGGATAATCCCTTTATTTTACATTCAGATGACTAACACCTTAATTCCATCACAACTTTAGTTTCCTTTGCTGTATAATCTAACATACAGTATTCACAAATTCCAGGGGTCAGGATGGCGACATCTTTAGTGGTGTTGAAGGTGGGGGCACCATTCTGCCTATCACAGGTGGTCAGATGTAGCCATAGAATGTAAGATAAACAGACAGACAGAGAGCATAGCCCTTTCCGATTAATTTATCGTTGTTGCAGTGGGGTAATGTGAGCACATGGACTTAACTATGCTGTAGAAGGCTGAGAGTATAGCTCAAGTGGTAGAGCACTTGTCTAGTAAGAGTGAGTTCAAAGCCCAATGTGTGTGTGTGTGTGTGTATACAAATATACATTCATGTGCTGAGGCTTTGTCCTCAGTGTAGGAACAAGGGGAAATCTAGAGGCAGGACCTAGTGGGAGGTTGTTAGGCCATTGGGGTGGTTAATGCTGGTCTCTAGCAATGAAAAGAGTGAGCCTATCTCCTGAGCCTTTCTGCCATTCTGTCTGGCTGTGTGAGCTCTCCTCTCAATTCCCCCATGATGCTACCTGCCATGGGTTGAAACAGCCAAAGAAATCCTAACCAGAGCAAAGCCAGTACCTTGACCTTGACCTTCCAAAGCTGTGAGCTAAATAAACCTCTGGGTTTTTTTTT